TGCAGCTGAGTTTGCCGAATTTAAGGAAAATTTTTAACATTGTAAAGTTCCGAAGGGCTTACATACTTGAGAGAACATTATTTCAAACAACAAAAGGAAGATCTGCTCATTATTACTAAGAAAAACAGTGATCCTTACCATAATTATATTGATGAGAAGAGTGCTTGGTGAGCGAGTTTAAAACTTTAATATAAACAGAGATGTTCTTAAAATCCCCGAAGCCGTTTTAATTGTAATTTTCAGTCTCCTTTAAACTTTTTGAAGGATATCTTTTATTGAAATGGACGTAATCATCGAAAGCCTGCGATAAAGTTAACGGTGATGTTATCAAACCTACTTTCCAGTTGAAATTTTCTAACAGAGCGGGTGCAAAATCTTGACTGTGTATTTGAAGTAAAGCAAACGACTCATTCATTGGATAATTACAGGAAGGGGCTTAGCGTTCTGCACACAGTCCCTGTGCATTTTAAGGAAGTCAAACCGGTTTGAACAAAGATGACTAGGTAAAGTTTTCTTTTTTTTTTTTTAATATAAGTTATATTATCTTCGATAACAACTGTGCGAGAGTACTAAAAGGCGCACGCAGTTGAACACAGAGTTCAGGGCACAGACGATAATACTGAGCAGTTTAAACTCCACACTATAGCTACGCACACGAGAAAAAGAATAATAAGCAGAATAAAATTTTATAAAAAGGATTCGAGTATTGACATTTTGACACAATATACCATTTTCTTGATTACTTCTTGTTTCTTCTTTTGGCTTCGTGGCTTTTTAACTTTTGCTGTTAGCCGTACGACCAGCTCTTCCCACAGTTTTGTTTTTTGAAACAGATATCCCTTAAGCTTACCCGTAAGGTTTCAGCTTTTAAATCTTGCAGTTTTTTGCTGATTTCTATCGTTTTGCAGCGATTCAGCCGCAACTAACAAATGTTTGTTTGTGTCTTTGCTAAAAAGTTCCCCGCTTTAGCCTCGCAATCATGCTGTGAAGTCTCTCGTCCCAGGGCCGTCGGGGAATACGAATATCCTCTATTGCACTGTGGTTACTTAAACTGCATTGCCCTCACCTAGTCAGATTCAATATTTTTCACTCATGACAAAAACATAAATAAACTGGAGAGGGAAAACAATCAGCGTGCAAAGAAAGTCGTGTCTGATAGCCCGGGGCTAGTGGATTTTGCTATCGGGCTAGTGAATTCTGTTTTTAACTTGCCCGACTGGCAAGTGATGTTTTTTGAGGAATTTTAATAGCAGATGAACTGTGAAATCAACTCTTCCGTCGTCAAAAAGCTTTTGAGGCTAGTTGAAATGACGTCTGGGCTAGTAAATGCTAGCTTCAGCTTGCCCGAATAGTCAGCTGTAAAAGTGATTTTCTCTGCACCCTGACAATGTAGTTTTTGTTGTCTTTCACCCGCATTTCGACCCATTTCACCGGCATTCATCCCCGTCAATGGCCTTTACAGGCATGACACACCATTAATTACAATACCCAACAAATCTGAAAATTCAAGCGCGCTATCAAAAAAAGGCTAAACGCGCGCCGTTAACGTAAGTAACGTTATACTTCACTTGCCTCCTTCCTCTGTTAGGGCTGTGACGTTTGAGCTGTTGTAGGGTTGACCAAGGCTGTTTATTCCGATGATTCTTACTTGATATTCAGTGTAAGGCAACAGCCCCACAACGTTCGAAGTGTTTAAACTTCCAGAAACGACCGCTGTACTTGATAGGTTACCATCGTGGGCGTATGCGATATAATAGAGTACGGTATTATTGATAAGCGGTGATAAATTCTCCCAGTGAACCGTTATCGAAGTTCTCGAGGTGTTGCCAATGGTCACATTCCAGTTGACAGGTAGAGCTGAGAAAATGAATTACGTATACAAAGAAAATAAAACACCTTTACGAGACACTGTGGGGACCTTGAATTGGTGTCCTCATTAGCGAGAGTCCGTAATTGCGGGAGTTTATTTCAGTCAAACATCTTTAATATATTTTTTCATAGGATTTAACTGCTGTCCATATTATCGGGGTGTTCGTTATAAAGGGGTGTCAGTAAGGCGAGAGTTGACTGTACTGGGCTTTTCTCAGGGTATTTTTAGGTTGTGCAACGTCTAAGCGCATCAGTGCAAATAGACCAGTAAATTTAATTGAAAGTAATAACATAAAAGGCAACACCTGCAAATCTTCTCAATTAGTTGGAAAAAACTGATGTTGCGGAAACCATCGTTGGCTCGCTTTTGGCAGCGTATTTAGGACGCAAATGCACCAGTAATAGCCAAAGGTTACGGATTGCAGGAGACAGCGATCGCAGGTCAAAGCGCTTTTGCTCATGATCCAACCCTGTGCTTTGCGTAGCTTTCACGAGACAGATGGTCGGAACGCGTGATCAGATTACGGGTGGTAGAAGGTGGAAACGTGTTCTGTTCATTCCGTTCATTTTTAGTGGAAGTTCAAACGAATTCTGGCCACATACATTCGACGCAGGCGTAATAACAAACCTAAAAATTAGGATTGCTGGTGACGAAAGGAGCCCGCAATAAAAGTCGATATATCACAGAGTTATATACAACTGTATAATTAATTCAATTAGCTCTATGGAAAGATTCTAACCTGAGAAAAGACCTTGCTTTATAATTCCGTACTGAAGCTTGAATCGACTGTAGCTGCTTAATAAATAGATCTGAACAGTTATGTTATCGGCACTTTCGAACCCAACCTGAACGAAAGATCGCAGGTCAGGCGAATAGGAATATCCATACTTATGCCAAACCAGTGATCCATTTCCGTCAATTATTTTCACATATTCACTAAAACACGAAGAAAAACGTAATAAATGAAAAATACTAACAAACAGGTGGAAAAAAAAAAAAACTTTATATCCGCTGATATGTTATGTTTCGTAATAGTCAAGAAAAGAATAGACAGAAGAAAGGTCATGTCTTGTTACCATGTTAGCAAAAATTCTAGATCTCAAAACTCTTTCTTGGCAGAGGCGGCCGTTGCGTTGTCAAAAGATGGAAGGAAAGAATGGGCTACAAATGCTCTATTTAAAAAAAAAAGAAGAGAGATTGGGCAAACACGAACTGAAACTTTACTTTACTTTCACTCAAAAGTGGTCATCAACTAAATATATGTTAATTTTTTGCAACAAATGGAAGCTTTTACACGAGAAAAGAGTTCAATCCCGACAATATATATATATATATATATTTTTTTTTTTTTTGGGGGGGGGTATATCAACATGGCTGGAGAGTTGTTTTGTTGTTGTTGTTTCTGTTTTTGTTTTATTCTCCATGTCACCGCCGTCGTGGTCAATAGCAGAGATATCCTCAGGTAAAGTCTCCACACTTGACCTTAAACACACTGACGACACTGATGCATCAGTTCAGCGAACCTCCATTGCAAAATTACATAATCCATGATCCCTTTGAGATTTCTGAGGTTAATTAAGACAAGAATAGAGAAGAGAAGTCGTTACGTCACGGTAGCAAAATTTTTAGATGACAACAAACCAAAAAACATGTGAATTCACACTGTTTCAAATTAAACTTCATCGACGATATTATTCAGTTTCGTTTAACTTGGTAAGTTAGCTAAATTCGCTGGGGTTAAATCCGAAAGTACTGTATCTGAGTTTAAAATTTTATGTGCTGTGTTCACCAACCCCATAGAGCGGGCGCGTGAAATTAGAAAGTTTCATGACGGAAGAAAAAAACAATCCTGTTTTTGTTTGTTTGTTTGCCGTTCTAGTAATTGTCGCCGTCGTCCTTGCTTAAGTGCAATCTTGTGATCCACAATTTTTGCTACTTTGGCAACGTGACAGTTCCCCTCCCTCTATCCAATCGGAGAATCGTGTCAAGTGATCTGAGGTAGTAATTTCACTCAAAACGGCTCAGTACCTGTAATATGACAAATACAGATCTTCTATCCACACTAGTGCAACTGCCTGATTTATGTCCCCTCTGCCAACCACAAGAGTGCATGTTAGATAGCTTGAGCCCCTGTCGGAACCAGTCTCTAGGTGGCCAAAAGACCGATTTGTATATCCCCCGCAATCTAATTGACAACAAGAAATGAAAAAAAATGTAGTTCCTCGATCAAATTTAACCTTCTACTACTTTAATTTCAATTAGTTAAATAATTCCAAACACACTGCGATCTGGCTAACCATGTGCCAGAACCAGTTTATATAAATCGTAAATATGAGTGGGTTGTTATAAAATATACTATTCCTCAGGAACAATAGGTATAGTCAAAAGGTTGAGTTTGATCGTCCGGGTGAACGTAGTCCTGAATAGGACTGTTGTTGTTGACAGTGACTGACGTTTCGACAACCTGTGCGGTAGTCATCTTCAGAGTCAAAGTGAGTTGTATCACGTCAGTTGATGGCATTATACGCTGGTTATTGATCTGATTGGTCAATTATGTCGCGATGTCGTCTGTCAGTTAAGCCGTATAGTGTATGGTATATCTTAATGCTGTATTTCGTGCCTTTGTTGTAAGTAGTCAGTAGAGTATAGAGTAGTCTATAAGTAGAACTATGCTATATGAGGTCTGCTTGAAACGTCATGATTCTGCCGGGATAAGCTGCCTCGACCGCAAAACGACTATAGCCACCTTGGTTTCAGAAGTCGAATAAAACAGCTCTTGTCGAAAACAATAAATAAAAGTAAAAAAAAAAAAAACAACTTCAAAAATTATTCTAATGTATTTCTTATTTATTGAATAGAGTTCGGAACGGCATTAGCACGACGTTTGAAACATTTCAGTGTGGACCACGAAAATTACGTCATGATGACGCAATTTGCTTTTTTAGTCTTTTGCGCGCGGTTTACTGAATGCAAGTTTAAGACAGCCAATGTTACAGTAAAATTAACAAATGACGTCAAAATGTTCAAAGCTTTGCAGTAAAACGACAAGGGAAATAGGAGACGTGTTCATGCAGGCTATGAAACCATTCGACTGTGGTACTAATTCAGTTTTGAACTTTCTGGCATCATGTCACGTCGATTTGTTCAATTTACCAGTTGTGACGTAATATGGAGATGACTGAGGTCCAGTTCCTGCGTGTGTGAACCCAGCCACCCACACTCTGTAGGAACGTGCTGCTTTAAAACCACTCAACACAAGCATATTGACATCTGGGCTACTAGAGTTTACTTTTTGGGTGCTATACCAATAGGGATACTCTTGGTAGATGACTACATATCCCAGCAGTCGCCCATTTGCACAGTGCTGAGGTATTGGATTCCATTGCACCTTTAATTCACTGAACTGCAGCCTAGAAACTCGTAAGCCCGAAGGTGCAACGCTTGGTACTGTGAAAATTAGCAAATTAGCAAAATGACGGTATTGGCGAGAAGATACGAACAAAAGGAGAAACCTAAAAAAAAAAACCTTAAAATGGTTACCAGGGGTACCTAACGTGCAAGTGACACCCGATCTCTACAACAAAATAAGGTTTATATACACTTGACTAATTGAATATAACTTAAAACGACACCTTTTTTTTAGGGGGGGTAAATTGATAAGTGTTCACGTTCCCAAGCTACAATTATTTAAAAAGGAAACAAATAAATAAACAAACAAACCAAGTTCTAGGGCATTTTAGAAATAGGGCCAAAAATTGTCGGATACTAGTGCAGAAATGACTCTTAACTCAAAATAATAATAATAAATGATACCTTATAATAAATCCCCGACAAGGTTTTGTTCTTTAATTGTTAAACTTGCTTAAGTGTTAAGCCTCCGACGAAGACATTAGGGAGTACAAATTTGATACAGTCTAACCTCTCTTTACGAACAGTTCGTTTGGTCCCAGAAAACCAAAAAATCATACATTCCCTACCTCTATAATACGGACCCCTCTGTAAAACGGACACTTGCTGCTGTCCCTTTAGTGCCCGTTTGAAGAGGTTTGACTGTAGCTTCAAGAAATATTGAAAGAGAAAAAAGACTCTCTTCCAGCTGACGTGCGTCGCTCCAAAACGATTTCGGCAACGTTTCTTAGGGGGTGTTTACATGACAACGGGGCGACCTTCGCGCCGGCGCGAGTTCACTCCGGTTCCCTCTCACGGCTCTATATTGTTTACATGATACCACCACAAAATGTCATGTCGGCGCGAGTCACCCGGCCCGGCGTGAGTTAACCCCGGTTGTTGCACCGGGGCGAGAATTTCACTCCGGTACGAAATCTCGCAACGGTATCATGTAAACGCGAAACGAACACTTGCTTCGGTGTGAAATCGGTCTGTTGGTAGACTGGAACGGGTAGCGCATGCGTAATGTTTGCGATTTTGAACACACGTGTATTTTATCAACATAAAGACATATTGAATGACCCAGTCATCATGTAAACGTGATAAGAAATCGAAAAGTCATCCTGATATGAAACTTGCGCTGGTGCGAGTTTTCTCATGTAAACACCCCATTATATAGCGAACCAAACGAACGTCTGCATTGAAGAGTAAATTCATAGAGGCTCAATGAAAATTTCAAATGCAGAAAAGGCTTTTTGAAATCGAAACTGCAGTTAAACTCTCTTTTTAATTCGAGCATCGTATGGGCTGACTGGTATGTTTTGCTGTTTTAACTTACTTTATTGACTTTTGTTTGTTCGTTTGTTTTTATGTTTTGGCATATTTACCTCCTTCGTTAGTTCTTGCAGTCATTGCCTCACTGGAGTACAGTGTCCTATTCCCCAAAATATTCGCTACGGCAACGACACTGACCTCGTAAAAAGTGTACCCTTTAAGTATATTCCCAGTGTAGTGTGAGTTATACCAATGTGAGACGTGGCAGATCAAGCTGACGTTTGAACTTTTTTGCTTATACTTCACTATAAAACTCTGGATTGGAACACTTGAAGGGAAGTTTGACCACTGTACTGTCAATGATGATGATGTCTTGCTGGTGATGGTAACATTCCATGAAGGCACCACTTGTGCTGTGGATGAATAATCAAAGAAAAATACTGTCAAACATTTATTTTGTAAAGTACATGTAATTTATAAGTTCCCTTAAACATATCCTCGGACGTGTGTGATACTTCCTACTCCCACTAGAGTACTTTAAGAGAGCTGAGAAAGAGGTCCAACCTTTCCTGAGCATTTTTTTTTCACTTTTCAAGTGTTTTTCCAGCAAATTTGTCGTCATAGGGTCTTGTTACCTGAGTCTTGGGCTTTGTCTAACACTGTGTATTGAATTCTTGCGTAGCTATATCGGTATGAAAGAGAGACCGCCAATGTTATGCTACTCTCGTCACCAAAGGGAAGTTCAACCGACTGTCCGCTAGCAGACGAATCACAACCACTTCGACGGAAAACCTCGTTGCCAGTGTTGTCACAAATCTTGATAAACTCGCTACAGAGAATAAGAAATGAGGCGACTCAAATGCTTGTGAACGCGACTAATCAATATTAGAAAACTAGCAATGAAATCAAAGTAATTAAGACAAAATCATGTGGATATTTAAATAAGCGAAAAAAAAAGAATCCTAAAATAGTTTCTTGGTGGTGTGGATGGGTGGGATAACTATGACTTAACACCTACATCACAAAATAATATTTAACTACTATAAAACTGATATACGATCGATAAAATGTCTACTTTAAACCCTATCGTTTTTCTTCAAATTTCCTTTAACAAAAAAAAAATGCTATAAACGTTCTTGGATTTGACAATTTCCTTTGACTTTTTCCTTGTGTTACATTGCCTTCATGATTTCTGATCTACAATGAATAATTCCGCTTACCTGCAATAACCGAGGTAACTGTACTTGAATGAGACTAAGACAACTCCTTGAATTGCACCTGCATCATTTATTTGAATACTGCAGTTGAGACTGTTGTAACTCGATTGCGTGAGATTTAGCCATCCAAACGACCGGTTCACAGAACCTTCACAACCTTAAAGCAAGACAATACATAAAAGAAAGATAATTAAAGTGACTGTAATTGCATATTAGAGAACAACACTTACTTTCTTTCCTCTAAAATGGCAAATTTATTTTGGTGTTTACATGTAATTCAGTCTCCAAAAGTATCTGTGCAACATATCATACACCACAGACAAACTCTTGTCGAAGAATCATTCAAAACTTTAGGCTGGGTGGATTTGGAGAAACAAGGGAAATTTCGCAAATGTAAATTAATAAATTCCTCATTTCTATATTTGAAATCGCACCATTCATAATTATAAGACAAAGGGACGACATTCATGTAACGAGCCCTAAGTCAACTCTAATAAAACTGGTGGGGATCATTTCAATATTTTACCTACATCAATAAAAGAAGCTACATTATTTTTCATTTATAAAAACTTTCTAACCTTAGACTTCATTAGCCATTAGCTTTTCGTATTGATACACTTACGTAACTTACCGTAGTAGCTCCCTTATTCGTCTAACAAATTATGATTTTTCTAAATATACGCAATTTCTCTTTTATTCACTTTTTTAAAATTGTTCTAAATATTTTTTTAAATTTATTTTTAACTTTTATTTATTTATTTATTTATTATCATTATTAATAATATCATTATTATTACTATTATTTTTTTGATCCTGTAGTCATGATTTACGCAGAGCCCCTTTTGATAGGAGCCAATGGCTGATAAGACAACCCTGTCTTGCGAAAGAACAACTCGAGAGCATGCGTAGCTCTTTCTTTTATCACGTTCAATGCGCTAACTTTTAATCACAAAGTTATTTATGAAGCCGGCAAAATCTTTGGAAAGTCAAATCAAATTTTGGGGCAGATAAGCATCCCTACACAAACCAGAAAGAAATGGGTACTGTCTAACAAGGTAGGGTTAATAATAAGTAATCAGTTCTTAAAATTGTCACTCTAATGAGCTCGTGGAAAAGATATATTTACCTTTCGTCTCATAGACAAGGGATGACCTCGGTCCGGTTCCAACAGCAGTGAAAGCAGCCACTGAAATTTGGTAACGTTCTCCAATCCGAACATCCGGCAGAATTACTCGTGGTATATCTGTGTTGTTGACTCTAACAATGGTGTCCGAATAGTAGTAGTACTGGAGACTTTTGTAGTAAACGTTGTATCCTAATAAGCGGCCATTGGCGTACTGGATAGGAAGGGAATCCCATCTGACCAAGAACTCATTCAATCCATGGTTTTCAACTCTGACATTCGTTGGCGGACGGCTGGGAACTAAATGAAATGTAGAATATTTGAGGATTAGGGTAGTAACCGCTAGTTCTTAGTTCCTGCTTGCAGTAAGATAACGGTTTCAATGGGATCACCTTTTAGAATTATTTTCATCTCCCCGGAGTCAATTATGGAAACAGTGGTTTTACAGCGAGACTGATTTGTAACACTTTAACCGTATTGATGTGATAACGCCAACGCAGCGTAGCTTAGGAAAACAGTGTTTGAACCTGCCTAACAGTTTTGCAGATGTCTATATAAGCAAAGGTCAATAAAAACGATCTTCTTAGTCCTTTTAAAATCCCGAAATTTTTCTCACCAAACAACTTAGCTAATCAGTAAAGTAGCATACTGCTATTTGTATTTCTGGTACTTTCTATAAAAAAAAGGGGGGGACTTTCTGGATCTTGCATTTTCTGTCTTTTGTTAGGATTTCTTGCCTGTAAAACCTGCTAAACATTTAAAACATGCCGAAGAGAGACACAGACCGATTACAGCTCCTCATTGCTGCTGTTTTCACACCAATGCAGGAATATGTTTAACACTGAATGACGAGTACTGTGGCTCTGACGAGTGTTTGTGACGCTGAGTGTTGTATATTTGACGAGTGTTTTGATTGTGACAAGTATTCTAGCTATGGCGATTGTTGTGACTGTGACGAGTGTTGTGACCGTGATGAGTGTTGTAGCTGTGAAAAGTGTCAGAATTATGCGCGGGTGACTTGATTTTCCATGTTATGCACATCGTGGTAATTACTGTCTCGTATTTTTGCTGAAGAATCGTCATTGGTGGTGTAATCTAGCTAATTGTATACGCTGATGGAGGTCCTTACCTCCTTCTGCCGTTACTATGGAGACTGGATTGCTCGCGTATGTAGCATTCTCTCTGCTTGACGTAACAGCGATTGCGTGGACTTCATAGGCTGTAAAACCCCTGAGCAGGTTAGTGTAATAGGAGTTGCTAGTGGCTTTAAAAAGTCTACTGACGTTGTTGGAGAGCTCCTTGAACCTCACCAAATAGTAACTGACAGACTGCGGCAGTGGAAGGTTTGACCAATATACCAACGCTGAAGATGAGGTTATGCTGGATACTGTTATATTCCAGGAGGGGACAGTTTCCGCTTAGAATATAAAATAAATCATAATA